GTGGTGGTTATAATTTTGAATTAAATGAGTTTTATGAAATTCAAAATACTTTCAATTTTTTCAATTTTGTCTTTTAATCATTGTAATAATTTTAAATATGAATATTTTTACTATTGCGTTATTTTATAAATATAAAAAATTATCTCAAAAGATTTTACATTTTTTGATTGAGTATTTTATTAATTTACTTTAGTTTAAGTTATAGTCATAATTTTGAGTTAATTAGTTTGTAATTAAATTAATCATTTTATAATCAATTTAATTATTTTATTTCGTTAAGATTAAAAAGCTCATTAATTAATTATATTAATTCGTCGTATTTAATTATTATTAGAATCTACTAATTTAATCAATTCAACTAAATTCTTAATTTCAATTGGCTACATTTGGCCAAATTCTCATTTCAAAACCTAGCCCTTTATTACAAATCTAGCCCCACTTTCAACCCTAAAATTTAACCCATCTAAAATACCCATTTTTGGGCCCTTTTCTTAGTATTTTCCAAGCCCAAATTCAATTCTAAAAGATTCAATTTTTAACAATACAACAAAATAACAAACAACAATACCATACGTACTTACCCAGTACCAAACGACCCCACCACATAGTTCCCTTCGTCTTTTTCACACTAAATCAACCTAGAAATCTCGCCCAACTACCCTGCAGAACCTAACCCTAGTAGCCTAATCGATCACATCACCGTCCCCTTTTGCCTATTTTCAAGGATTTTCTGAATCCCTTCATCGTTGCTTCGAAAAGAGCATTTCGAATACAAATTTGAACACTCGTTTTCCCCCATTCGACTTTAGTTTTTTCTGTCTATAAAAAGCTTTCATCCTCACTATTTTAGGGGGATTTTTGGATCCTATAATACATGCTTCAAACGGCTTAAAAAGTTTAAGGTCAAGAGTTCAGAAAAATATTATTTTGTTTTTATTTCGAGTTCATCGGAATCTTGTGAGGTCAAGGTGTTGGTGAATGTTTCTTCGAGGTCATGCTCATTGATCTCCAGATCGCTGCCCGGAAGAAGGTGATGTCTTCTCCTTCGTAATACCCTCCTCTTCTTTTATGTTCCGACGTGAAACCTATAGCTATGTTTTGTTTTGTCTGCAATCATTTGTTATTGAGTTTTGGATGATTTGATATGGTGCGTATTTCTTTAAGCGATTTCGGTGTAGTCGGATGCCTCTATTTCGAGTTTATTTCATCGTCCTTATCTCGTATACTTATTTTCGATGTTCGAATCTATATTTCCTTGTTTTCAATGTCTTAAGATGTAAAAACGGGTATTCATTTTGTTACTGTTGATGTTATGAGATTTTTCTCTTCAAATGAAGATAGATTCTCAAACTTTTTAATATGGAAATTGAATGTTGTCTTATGTGTTGTTTATTAGCTGCAACAATTTTGTTTTCTCTTTTTTTTACAACTCCGTGATCGTGCTACTGCCTAGTATGTCCGGCTTTGATGAAGCCCACGTCTCCTTTGTCTACCTTCTAGTCGAAACTATTTATTACCGGTAGTTGAGTTAACTCCAAGAAGACTGGAGTCTCACTTGCCTCTTATTTTTTTTCAAGATTGTTGTGATTTTCTCGAGTAAATTTAGTATGTATATCAAACGCTTGCATAAAGGTTGTTGAAGTTGGGATAACGTTTGGATATTGTGATTTGTTGGTTCTAGTAGCTATAAGTTTAAAATTTAGTTTAGCCTCTTTGTAAGTTTGTTGACTATGTAAGAATAATAGTATGACACATTTATTTGTTCATTGTATTGACGTATGAGTGAATGTTTATTCAATTTCCGTAAACTTTGTCTATAGTTGTTAACCCTTGAATGAGCCACCTCTTATCGAATTTGCCTATTTGGATATGGTCGAGTCTAGTTTCTCTTGTTCATACTATTTTCGAGCATTAGATGTTTTCATTTTGCTTGTCGTTGTTCGTGTCATTTTGTAGTGGCTATGGAGTCTTTAGAGTTAATTGATATGCTAAAGTTGTGTTGTGATTTAGTGTTCAATGTGTTCTTTTAAATGGAGTGTATTGCAGCTTTTGTTTGTTTGATCACAAGAGACTACAACTGCTTCTTTGCTCTAATTAAGTTCTTGTCCTCTCTTTATATTTGTTTTTCATATATTTCTTATTGGTATGTTATGTACTCTCTTCCTTAGTTATTTTAAAATAGAATCACTATTAATCCTTATTTTTACTTTGTTTTGTCTCTTTGGGAAATCTGCCAACCGAGTCTTTTTGACTCTATTGTCCATATCCATGTTGCATTTCAAATCGGCCTTCATCATTGTTCAAGTTTCGGAAGCTGAAATTCAGAGGTCAAGCAACGAAGCTATTTTACAGGCTCAAGGGAGTTGTTATAAATCACAATACATGCTGATATACACGAGTATACACTCACTGTATACAGCTGAAGCAGTGACAAAAATGGGCCAAAAATTAACATGCATGTTCAGATGATGCACCAGGCTACACACCGATATACCAAAAAAAAAGGCAAAAACACGACTCGTATACAGCAGTATACACAGGATTTCAAGGGTTAAAATAGGGCCAAAGCCCAAATCAGCAGCCTGAAAAAACCCAAGTCCATTACCTCTTTATTTATTTGATTGCATTTATTTATTTATTTGATTTGTTTAACTCTAACCCTTTATTTGATTCGTTATAACTTAATTAAATTCCCCAAAAGATGAACTATATTGTTTATGTTAGTATGTTTTTATATAATTCATTTTTCATCAAGTCTTGTACTTTTTTTGAATATATTCAGTCAAATTTTTTTATTTATTCTTCAATTAAATTAAAATAGTTTTCATAATCTAATTAACCAAATTGGGTTTTTGACAAGATCTTAAACACAAGCATTTTAATTCAAAGGACATTTTTTTTATTTTCACTTAAAGGATGATTATGTGGGCCATAGTCGTTCGTTAACCAATTATTTCTCGGGGTACCCTGGCGAATGTAGTTGGCCACTAGATCGTCAACGGTTGCTAACTGCCCCAACTCAAGTTGTCCGCTTGGGTTACCGATCCACTATAAATAAAGCCCACTCTTAGTCAAACTATTGTAAAGTGAAGTTCAATCCCAAAAATTGTGCATTGGCCTAAGATGACCCAACACTCAAAGCTTGTTGGACCCATTAGAGAGACCACTTTGAGTTCAACACGGCCCACAGCCTAAATGGATGATCATATTTATGTGTTTAAATTTGAAGGATGTATACGTTGTTTCAAAAATCATTGTTTGTTGGGGGGTTCGGAGTTTAATAATTTGTTCTACTCGAAGGAGTTGTACAAGCTACTATTCCATCAAAAAGTGTGGGCATCCGGAGACGACAATAAATCAAAGACGAATGACCTTCTATCGAAGCATAGTTTAGGATTGTACCCCTGCGTGGGAGTGATTATTTGTATTCCATATTCCCCATTATGTATCCCCATTCAGTTTATTCACAAAATTTGTATAAACTTGGATTTTTAGGGAAATGGAATGTTTCAAATGACGCTATACATCCTTCAAATCGTTAGGCTTACCCATGGCATAAAAGGGTCACATATCTGTTTAGAACACATAATATTTGTTTATGTGTTATAACTACTTGTGTGAATATGTTGCTTTATTTGGAGATATTCTAGTTCACTCCTCTTCGAATTATTTTTAGAACCCCTACACATAAATATCAAGTCACTATAAAAAGTGCTTCCAAATACTCTTCGAGTCTTTAGTTTTCCAACAAAAATCAAACTTCTATTTCAAATTCTAAATTTTACTTTCTCATCTCGGAAAAAGGATCAAAATTCCATCTCAACTCAAAAAGAGATTCAAGCCAGTCAAACTACGTAGGACTTGAATTCTCCCTCGGAGATACGTAGGCAGCCTTTCAAGGCACGGTCCCCATTTTGAGAAATTTTATATTTTCCAACTCTTGCAAGGAGAATAGAGTTTCATATAAATCGAAAATCGAAAATATGACAATAAAAGATACAATCAACTTTGTCTAGACTCAGGTTGACATTTCTGATTCACTAAACTCAAAATCGAATAGAAAAATTCTCGTCTATTTAGTCATTTCTCTAAATACGTGGGCTTGTTTATCTTCAAGTGGAGCAACTCTTATGTGCCTGTGGTCATACGTGTGATATTTTGTATTATTTATCATCTACATAGACTAACACGTTTATCTTTTGAATTGTTTTTCTTTCGTCAGGTAATTTGAATTGATCTGTGTTGATAAACTGGCTGAACACCCTTATTTCACAAGATCTAAGGCTCCTAAAGATTCCTTCCTCGATCAAAGTTTGCAAAAATGAAAGGTAGTAATGGGTTATAACAATGACGAGGTTGGCCTGACTGATATGATAGTGGCTCAGCTTGTTGTCACTGATCCAAATGAATTAATTATGCAGTTGATGCAGCAGATCGCCGAAATAAAGGTAGAAATGCAAAGAAGGAAATATTTGCCTAATTTGATTTTCGCTTTCAATGCTCCAGCAGATGGAAGTCCTCCACTTCATTTTCCTCCTTCAAGTACGGAATAGACTCAAAACTCACCCTCCAGTCCTGCTCAAAATTCCCCAATCATCGACATAACCGCCCCAAACCCCCATCAGGCCTCTATCTCTTACCAAGCGCCACCTCCTCCTCAAGGTACCAACCCTTAAACCTTCCCTCCTCATAAAAATGTCAACCCGCAAGCTTGTCCTACCCCTCGAAATCAAAATGTTAACAATCCGCAAACCTTTCCCCATCACCAAAATTAGCATACCAACCCCCAGACTTTTTCCCAAAATTATCAAGTCACTCAAAATACCCAGAGTCCCTCCATTGCTCCACCATTGCCTCAAAAGACTACTTTCCAAATTCCAATTTAAAATGAACCTTATGCGAATTGTTCCGAGCTTGATCACTATGAGGAACAAGAGAGAGAGTGAAGGTCAAAAGAAGAGGAAGTCAAGTTTAATGTGAAAGAAGAGATCAGGAAAGCCATGAAGGAGCTGCACTGTATTCCTGAAGTCGATGGGTTGAGTTATGAGGATTTGTGTATCCATCCAAATATGGACCTCTCAGAAAGGTTTAAAGTGCCGAGGTTCAACACTTTTGGAGGAATCGAAAATCCATTGGCTCATCTGAGAGCTTATTGTGACCAACTCGTAAGAGTTGGCAGGAATGAAGCCTTGTTAATGCAGCTCTTTAACTGGAGTTTAAGTGGAGAAGCGTTGAAATGGTTTACCACTCATGAGATAAAACAATGGTCTAGACGGAATGCACTGGCTAAAGATTTCGTCGAACGGTTCGCCTACAATGTGGAGATCGTTCTTGATCGCTATTTTCTAGAGAGAATTAAGCGGAAATCCCCTGAAAGTTATCGTGAATATGCGTATAGGTGGAGGAAAGAGGCCGCCCGGGTTCGACCTCCTATTTTTGAGAAAGAGATCGTTGAAATGTTTATAATCATTCAAGAGCAAGAGTATCATGACAGGATAATGTTGCTCATTGGAGAAAAATTTGCGGAGATAGTCAAGGTAGGTGAGGCTATCGAAGATGGGATTAAAACTGGAAAGATTTCTCGCGTTGCCGCCTCAATCGAATCTTCAGGATTGTTGAAAAAGAAGAGAGATGACATGTCTTCTATTTCTTGCGCATTGATGGAAAAGGACACTTCAGAAAATCCTCACCTTACAAAGGTCATTCTCGAGCTCCACAAAATTCATATCTAGCTTGTTATACCCAATCAGGTTATCAAACTCCACCACCGAGTTACCAAATTCTACCACATAATTACCAAACCCCACAAACGAGTTACCAAATTCCACCTCTTGTTTACCAAACTCCACCTCCACATTACCAAAATACCAATCCATATTACCAAGATCCATTAGTTAATTGTTCAAAAATCTAATCAAGTTACCAAACTCCACCCCCACACTATCAAAACACCCTTCCTAGCTATGGAGCTCCACAAATACCCAAATTTTCAAATGCCAGCACCAACTCACCAAAATCCTCCAAATTACCGTCAAGTACCTCCACAAAATAATTACAATCCTCCTCACCCAAATCTTGAGAAGAAACCTTCTAAAGTCTTCACCCTTTTGATCGAGAGTCGAACACAACTTTTTGAGGGATTAAAATCAGTTGGCCTGATACAAACAATTGATCCAAAAAATATCAATGTCAACTCTAAGTTTTATAGACCTGATCTTCATTGTGCTTACCATTCATGAAATGTTGGGCATAACACTGAGGATTGTATCGACTTGAAGCATAAAATTCAAGAGTTGATAGATTAAAAGGTCGTCACTCTTTAGACGACCACTCCTAATGTCTATTGTAACCCCATGTCGAATCATAGAAGGGTGACTATTAATATGATTGAAGTCAAAGAAGATTTGAATGTGGAGAAAGTTATAATCTCAACCAACCTGGAAAAACTTGAGAAAGTTGTAGGCTCTCCAACCAACGAAGAGAAATCTGAATTTGGGACTATGAGACCTCATCAAGCTTTTGCTTTAGTGCCAAATGAGGGTCAGAACAAACAGAAGATCGATCAAGCTTTTTCAAAATCATTGCCTCACTCATATAAGTCCTTTCTAATGCAAAATGGTCTAGGGGAAGGGATCAAAAATTTGGTCAAAGAAGGTGATATTGTGCTTAAACAGATGATTGAGACGCCAGTCATACTAGACAACGAGCCAAAGGAGCAAATGCCTGACTGGAAATCCACTCCTCTCTTGATTTCACGCTCGTCTTGGTAGAAATAGACAATTTTCTATGTTGTTTCTAAAATTGTTGGCGTTCCGAATGAGACTCGAGACCCATCCTTTACTCTATTGTTGCCTCAATATGTTTTAATCTCCCTCCTAATATTTTGAAAAAGGGAAAAATGATTTATTGTCACTGCTAGAGTTCTTATTTTCTTATTTCAAATGAAAAACTCCCTTATTGAGAAAATTTGCTTTACTTGCTTTATATTTATCTAACAAGATTTGTTTATGATTTCAGTGAAAATATTTTCAAATCTGTCAATATCATGTCATGTCACAAGCTGAATGAACAAAATTGGGTAGATGTGGAGGAATTTGGGGACTACAATGAGAAGATCATGGTACCCAAACACCTGGTTGTGGAGTTCAGAAAGTACGAAAATCACGATAAGTCTAATTCTGAAGAGATCAGAATAGTGAATCAGGAAAATGATGAACGCATCAAAGAATTCAAAATTGGTGCCTATCTGACAAAAACACAAGAAAGATAACTAATCAGTTTGCTTGGAGAACACATCGATACATTTGTTTGATGACGTCACATGGTTGAGCATGAACATTAGATCTCACAAGTTATCAATCTAGTTAAATGTTGTCAAAAGATACCATGTTTAAAGACTTGATTTCTATCTTTTCCTTGTAATCGCCTTTATTTGCTTGCAATCGTTTATGCTTAGAATTTATTCCTTTTGTAATGAACTACGTCTTACCTAAATTCTCAAGAATGAGATACGTAGGCAGCCTATGTCGGCCTCGGTCCCTCCTTTATCCCCTTTTAATATTTCTTTGTATTTGCACTACGTTCGTCCTGAATTCTCTAGGATGAGATACGTAGGCGGCCTATGTCGGCCTTGGTCGGTTCCTTATTTAAATTTCTTAGTTTTGCTAATCTTTGAGGGGAACTACGTTTGACCTGATTCTTGCCTCAACGGGATACGTAGGCGCCACAACAGCTCGGTCATATCTCTCGTAAGATTTTGATTTTTCCTTACAATAGAAGTTGGGACAAAATATTTGGGAGGGACTCAAAAGTTCACAAGAAGATGATCCCTCCAACAAAGTCAAGAGTGAAGTTACTTTGAGATTTTCAACTGGGACAGAATTTTTGAGAGGATCTCAAAAATTCTGTGATTTGCACACCAACAGTTCAAGATATGCCAAGATAATTAACTAGAACAGAAATTTTTTAGGATGACCTCAAAAATTTTAATAGGGTTCATCGACAGTTTAGAGCAACTTTGAATACTGCCCAGCAAGTAATCAGTTAGACCTCGAGGCATCAACTTCAAAGGCATTCGCTAAGCTTGACATGACATGACACTTGGCAGTGACCTTTTCCAAATATTACTTTTTGAAAATCTATTTTCCTTAAAACTTTTTCTGTTTTTTCCTGTTTCAATTATTTTACATAAAATGATTTTGTCTTATCTATCAAGAAGCGGGAGATCGGAGAAATCAACCGAAGATAGCAAGACAAAGAGCAGACAACTGAGGAGATCGACACAGATCAGTTCACTTTAAACTAACAATTTTTCTGTTGATGCAGGTCACTAAGTTTTCCTCAAGATCATCATATTCCTCCATATGGAGAAGTCAAAAGGCGAGGAGCTCCCCGAAATTGACAATTTTTCTGTGGATGCCGGGAAAGTTTTATGCTTCTTATACCGAAGAATCGGGGATATGAGTAGCATTACTTTATTCAAATTCTCAGCAAGGCAAGACCCATAATGAACACACGATTATGTTCGGAGATGGAGTAAATGGATGCCCCGAAGAGAGTGATTATATTGTTTTCCAACAACTAAAAATACTCGGAGGAAGTAATCTGCATCATATTTAAGATATTATAATATTCCAACCCGGACAGTCATCTATATCGTATTGTCAAATGAGATGATACCACTACTCCGAGGGTTATTTTTATTGTATTGTCAAATGAGACAATAACGCCACCATGAGATACCTAGAAGATCACCTACATTGTTCAGTGAAACATTATCTTTGTTCGGTATCGGGAGGCATCTTCACTATCTTCATGCATAGCAAGAGAAAAAGGCAAGCATCGCAAGAGAAAAATCATGCATCGCGGGAAAAAAGATTCATGCATCGCGGGAAAGAGATTCATGTATTGCAAGAGAAGATTCATGCATCGCGGAAAGAGATTCATGCATTGCAAGAGAAGATTCAGGTATTGTGGAAAGAGATTCATGCATCGCAAGAGAAGATTCATACATTGCGAAAAGAGATTCATGCATTGGAAAAGAAGATTCATGCATCGTGGGAAGGGATTCATGCATTGTAAGAGAAGATTCATGCATTGCCAGAAAAAGATCATGCATCACAAAGAAAGGAGTCATGCATCGCGGGAAGAAAGTCATGCATTGCGAGAAAAGATCCATGCATCGACGGAAGAAGATTCATGCATCGCAATAAAAAGATCCATGCATTGCAGGAGAAAGAGTCATGCATCGCGGGAAAGAGAGTCGTGCATCGTTGGGAAAGATTCATGCATCGCAATTCACAGGAAAAAAAGTCATGCATCACGGGGTAAAGATACATGCATCGCAGGAGAAGTCATGCATTACTAGAAAAGATTTAAGCATCGCAGAAAGAGTCATGCATCGCGAAAAATAAAATTAAAAAAATCACACATCGCGGAAAAAGTCACCATTAGCTACGGTTTTCGAGGAAACATCACCTGTATTTTTCAAGGAAGCATTATCTTTACGCATTGCAGAAAAGGAAACCATGCATCGCGAGAAAATCAACATCGGCTGCATCATTTTCATTTGCAAGAACAATATCAAGAGAACCATCAACAACGACGTCAAGAGAACTATCAATATATTACATCAGTCTATTTTATTACTTTGACATCAAAAGAAGAGTACATTGAAGATTATATTGCAAATATAATATACAAGCTTTATTTGTTTTACGTCAAACTGGAGGAAGTTGACGTCAAGCATCCAAGGAAAACAATTAAGTGTCAACAGGGTAAAAAATACTATCTCCCGATTTGAATTGCATTTTATGCTAATGAGTTTTATCTCAGTCTTTTTCGAGAGCATCCCAAGAGGATGAATTCTCAAAGCAAACCATAGGTGCGGACGACATCAGAAAGGATGCAGCACAACGTGGAACTTTTTCTTAGTAGCGAAATGGGACATAGTCCAAAGAGGAGTGCCAAACCTTTAGGACGCGAGCTGAGAAGCAACTTCCACCACAATCAAACCACACCCATATCAGAAAGACACGTGGGTCTTTCTTAGGTTTATCGGTTCCAGTTTCGCAGCCGGAAAATTTTGGGTTCACCGGAAGCAACTTTCCAATCCAAGTGACAATGCGCTAAGAGCTTTGAAAATTATGTCCGTGTAAGTTCTTACTTATAAGTGTGAAGTGCACAACATTCATGGCTAAGAGGTTGCGCGCCTCTTTTTCATACTCGATTTACTTGTCACTCTTCCAGAATCGAAGGTTACCTAGCAAAATAGATTTCTTTTTCAACCGATCAAGTCGAACTACAAACAGCCTGATTCCTAAGGTTTAAGGATCTATAGGCGGGATCAATGTTGAAAACTTGGCTGTATTCCACCATTAGCTCTTAAATCTTATTCTCGAGCAATCCGGTCTCTCCATAATTTGATATCGGGATAGATTTTGAACTCTTTCAAAGTCGTGCGCTAAATCAAGCGTATAGAACTACAAGTGACCTGAATTCTCATATAGCCTGAGATATGTAGGAAACTCAATTCCATGGTTCGTCCATGACTCCTAAAAACCGTACCAAAAACCCTTTCCAAAAGGATGAAGATGTGGTCGGTCAAAATTGGATTCGTCAATTTCATTTGCCTCGAATTTCTTTCAGCAATCCAAGTCAAACGAAGGACAGCTGTAGACACCCAATTTTGACCCTCCACAATATAAATTAATCATTAAATTTCTTCAATTTA